GAAAACACGTCCAGAGGCAAAACAAACATTACTTAAAAGGGCGACGAACAAACACGGACAAAGTATCTACTCTACAACAGACACCTATAGCCGAAGGCGCTGTGCTACATGACTACTGTGATTCCAATATGACTCTATGAATGGGCCCCGGCTACATGAGAGTGTACGCGTTCACTGGAGCTTCCGGACCGTGATACTGTTCCGCTTGTAGTATATATGTAGAGTAGATTAGTATCTCTGTACGGCAGCAATTGTCTCTCTTATAAAGATCTTACGGCCACTGAACTCTCATGGGCATGTGACGAGGCAGTCCTCGCCTTCCATACCTGTCGCTGATGCATTTGAGTACATTCTCGCGCCGCCGGCGGGTGGCCTGGGCTCACATCGTACCTTCCAGAACCCCTCACATATTCCCCGAACGGCCAAGTGCCAGATAGTATTGCTCGCACATTGCTTCCCAGCCGTGAACACGATCTCACTTCGGAAATATTAAGCCTGCGACTCCTGATTTGGCGTCGGACAGCCGTTCTCAAGACATACAAGCCACTTCCTTGATTCTATTTGTAATTCTGGTCATAGAATATCATATGAGCTTGCTTTCGGAGGCAGGGGGAGAGGATAGGGAGGGCCATAGTCTCACTGTGGTCGCGATCCGGCGAAGGGCGCGAGGAACGTTCGAAGTGGAACAAGGGATTCGAGGTCAAATTGGACGTTGAATCAATTTCAATCTTTGGCTACCGTCCCCTCCTCTAAGATGACTAGTCTCCCAAGTCTATCTTTGAGAAACTGGGATGCCCCTTCATGATCAATGACTGTACCCCTCAGACAACTCTCGATATGTCTCGGAGGAAAAGAGTCGCCTATTCAGAGATGGCCTGTATCTCGAATGTGCCGAGGCACAATCCATCTTGGGTTGCTATCATCCGAGGCGAGTTTCGGACCTTGACAATGCACGGGCAGTTTCTAATCATGGTACGACTAACTTCGAGGCAAGTATTAGACATCATCGAGCACAGAGAGGAGACGGTAAACAGGGAAGAAGAGAATAAAGAACGAAATAAATGGAATCCTGAAAGCGAGCAGGGTATCAGCGCAGGTGTCAGACCGCGCATCCTATCCTGGCGTTTCTAATAGTCAAGGTTCCACCTGGATTGTTTATTGGTCATTCGCGATGAATTGGCACCTTTGACACTGTTTCACGTCTCCGATTGGGAGAGTAGGTGCCGTTTTGAGTGCTGGTTGCGACTCCCGTTGTAACGCGTGTGCTAGGCTGGATGGACGACTGAGCGTTGGGGTGGGTGACTGACAGTTGACAGTTAGGAATCGCTTGGACTGGACAGTGCGAGTGATGATAGGGACGGGTGACAACCTTCTTGGCCGACAGCATTGTCTTCATTGCACATCGGACGAGTTAGCGGGCAGTCTAGGACAGACGCGCAGCGTCCGGATATTACTCACACGATGTTAGCTTGGTATTGTTACCTGGAAGGGTGGTGAGGAGAGGGCGGGGGTTTTTCGATACGTGAAAGAGAGAGGGAGAAGTGAGGAGGGCGAGAATCGACTCGAAAGCTAGAGGGAAGTAGGCTCAATTCACACATAGCCGGGGCCGTCTCCCGCACCACTGAAATGGTGGGACGAGAGGTGTATATAAAGGTGTGAAAATTTAAAATCAACTTCCTCACTCGTCTTAATAGCTCAACGGAGCTAATGGGTGGTATTTCCCGCGACTGGCCCAACCAAAGCGGAGGCACGAGAGATCGCTGAATTAGGGCATTATAGACGCTAGGATGTTTAGATGACTAATACTGATAGCTGTTACTAAGTTTGAAAACTGGTGATCTATATAAGCTGATATGCATATGATTCTCACGCTCTCTAGTAGATAATGGATGGATTCGTCAGAGATCAAGGGTCTCTACCTGGTAGAATCGTTCCACACAGTTCGTCTCTGTGATCAGGTTTCTGTCCGCCATTGGGCCCTCCCCATCGCTCCCTCTTAGTTTCAAATACTGGAAAGCTATTCTTGGAGTCCGCTTCTCACTATAGCCCTCTCCTTGATATTCGTTTGCATAAACATCCTGCCACGGCGAAACAGTGCGCGGGAATCCTGAGCAGCGTTAGCGGTGAACCCTGAGAATTCCCTCAAACGGCACTTTCTCAGTGGGGTCTTCCTCGTCGTGATGCATATACAGGCATAGCAGCGCTTATCACCTGTCGAATCAGGCCACCGACGTGTCTGTGTCGATTTGCCTGTGTCTGTCAATACGCTCCTTCCCAATACTACGAACATGTTTCCTTAATGTGGCAATCAGCAGCTGAGAATGCGTACCATACACTTCAGATACGGTGAAAGGGAAGGTATCGGTGAGTGGTGGTCAGGTATCTTGCTCAACTATAGGGCTGCCAGTCGAAACCTCTTTCCAGGCCGATGGTTGTGTTACCCTACTTCCTCGGGATCCCTGAGATCGCCGCGAGATGTGTGGGGAGCCTGAATCGCTGTTGAATGAACGGGGGCGAACTTTTATGTAGTGTTCCATTGATGCTCTGGCATTTGATGTTGAATATTAGGAGGTAGCGGGAGAGGGCGATTTCCGCTAGGAGAAATACCCCCGCTAAGAGAAATACCCCCCGCATTTCTCCCGTTGCCCCTTGTAGGCTCAGCTGTAGTATGAATATTAGCTCGATGAGCAATTAAGATGGAGTACAATGGAAGTTCCTTGAGATGATTCAGGGGGCGTTTGCTTAAGCGTACATAGGAACCTAAGGGGCTCACCTCTCAACCAAATCTTCTCTGGTATATCGGTAGAACATCACCCTGTCATATCACGTGATGAAAAGGTCACGTGAGCAACCCGGTGAAGAGCTGGGTTCGACTCCCAGGAGGAGAGGTTGCTTTTTGCATCAGATTCTGGTG